CATCTTTAGTCCTGGACCAGTGTTCTCCATATCTCTTCCTCCTCCCACCCTGAATCTTTTGCTGCCTCTAGTCAATTCTTTACCTTCTTCCCCCACCTCCCCACCTTTAGCCTTTTTCCTCAGGGAGGGCTTTAGGATTTTTCAGAATAACTCAAATTTAGGAGAACTCAGGAGTTCAATAGGGACTGTAGGAGTGGTTCACTCCCTGCAGCCATCGCTTAAGGCTGAACAGAAGAGACTGGGTGCTTTCTGTGGCCTTCCCCAGCATCCATCTCCACTGTTCAGTGATGATACAGGTACATACTTGCCTTAGCACCTAGCACCTGTGAATGCATCTAACCCTTGATTGAACCTGCTGATTGATATCCATGACCTACTTCCCCAGCACTCCTGGAAACAAGTCCTCTTTTAGCATTTTAAACCAATCTTCTGCTGGTTTTATCAAAAAACTCTAGTGTTGTTGTTAACAGGATCCTGCAGAAATTATTTTGCCTTTCTTGTAAAGCTAAGTTTTAGTTCTCGTCTCCCACCTGAAGTTCCAGCTTCCTTAGCTCAACAGCCATTTGGGCTTCCTTCAGACTGTTTGGTGTGGAACCTAGCCAAAAGCAGGCTCCCAACCCCTCGGCACCAAAGCTGGCTGTACTGCTGGGTGACACACTTCCGCCAGCACTTCCTCTTCATGCTTACAACGAGCATCACTGAAAATTCTGGTAGGAGTTGACTCAGCTAAGCAGTGCCTGTGACAACTGTTTTTTTCTTCCTAGAGACCCACTTGGAAAACCATTGCTGTGAAAGAGCACACTTTTTCCCAACAGAGTGTAGGGGGAGAAGTTTGGAAATAATGGCAGCCTGCTATCAAAGTTCTGTCCAGAAGACCCACAGTTTGCAAGTTACCATGTGTACTGAACGGTCACTCAGAACTAGTTCTTTATTCCATGCAAATAGTTCTAACCTTTGCTATACCAGAAAGCACAAACGACTAGCTCAGCTGGTGTGCTTAGAGAAAAAAAGGAGTTGAAATGTAAATAACAGATTCCCATTGAAAGGCAAGGACAGTTGCAGAGGAAAAGCCATTACAGTAACTGCATGCCTTCAGGCCAGTGACTGCTCCCCAGCCCCTGGCTGCTTACTGCAGGACCATGGACCTGGAGGTCCCAATGCAGACAAATTAACCAAAATGTTCAGCAATCCAAATACATCCCAGCTAGTTACATAGAGACAAAGTCAGGCACCTCCTGCCACTGTGGAACTGCAGGCTTTGATACATTTATACATTGAAATCAAAAGATTACAGCTCACTGTTAAATACAACTGGGGAGACTAAATAGCTCTACATAGGAGCTTAGGTAATCGAAAAATTGTAACAAGATAGTAACTGGAAGTCTTTATGTTTGGGTTTTGTTTTTGTTAGTACTCTTACCAGGACACACTGGGACTTGGAAACAGGCAAATTTCGCATAGCTGCATTTTTCAAGAGCAGCACCTGAATTCAACTGAAAAATTTTGCAGGGGAAGACACAGAAATACCTTGCTAAATGAGTAGTCTTTTATATTACATTTTTATTTTGCAAGAAAATAAATTATACAACTTAAAAAATAAAATTCAAAAATTAAGCAGTACATCAAAATAGTTCAGCTGGACTGCCATACAGAAACTACCACCATTCAAAATTGTACAGCATTATTATCTTGGTAGTGGCACACATTCAAAATCGTAAATACCATACGTAGATAGATATTACAACTCAGGAACTCAAGGTTGCTCAACACTCCAGACTACATATAGTGTATAATGACAGGAAAGCTTCCATGTATTGTTTATTTCACAAATATGACCTCAAAGAATTACAAAGATAGCATCCCAGTCATTTAGATGAAAATAGAAAACAGTTTGAGTTTAAGATAGCAAATCTTTCTGTAAAACTATCAAATCTTTTTGCCAATTGTGTTTTTAAAATTTGCACTTTACAGGACAACGGCATCCCGATGCAAATAAACGCAACACATGAACATTCAGAACATTTCTATTAACTTTAAAAAGGTGAAAATGAGAAAGTCATGTTGTCTTTTGGAAATGTAATTGCATTACAGTCGTAACAAATGAAAGATAGATGAGTAAAAATAGAAGCTAGGAACACCAACTGTGGAAAGAGGAAAATGGAAGACTTCAGAATTGAAACGGAGATCGTCATCGAGTTGTTGGAACAGAGAAAGATTTAACAGTATTTCTTAACTAAACCCATTAAGAGTGACTTTCCCTCCCCCCTCCTACACCAGATTTCATTCCATAGCTATTCACCGTGGCAGTGCGTGTGGCAACGTGTTTCCAGATGCAGCACCTCTTTAAGCTAGGTCTTTGGACACATACTCATAGCTAAAAATTGCAGCCTTAAAAGTGCGTTGTTGCCATATTGCAAGCGAAGAATAGTTCATTTCCATTTAGATCTGAACTCTACCCTCCCCAAAAGAACAGTTTGCCCCAGGTATCTCCCTGTGCCCCAGGTGATACTAGATTTAAGTGCATATTGGTGAAAGTGACCTGATGAAGGACGCTAAATATGATTCTGCATCTCTTATTAAATTTGCTGGTGTGAGTCTCAGATTTAATAAAAAACTCTGCATCCATTTCTGGTATATATTTAAAGAAAAATTACCATGTCGTAGGCACATTACCAATTCTATTTCTGCATCCCAGCTGTTGAGAAATATATAGGTAACACTCAGGTTGTACTATTTTATATTTATTAGTTGAGGGAATACATAGCTCCTTAGCTTTTAGCAACCTATTGCATTCTGCACACACTCCGGCTTCCCCAGCAGTTGTATCTGAGATGGAGTCTCTTAAATTTCTCTCTCAAATCTGAACACTGGCTTCAAAATCAGCATTACCCCCTTTGCAGCTCCTTTCTGCCTAAGTTTCACACCCGTTCTTCTCTAGTTAAGGGCTGGAATATTTTTGCTGAAGAGTGTGCTTGGACTGTCATGTTTTCTCCCAATTATCCCAAGTGAGCGTTTGTGACTTTTAAATTACGAAGACTGGAAGTCTTGAAGCACGAAGATTTTTATTAGAATTTTGTTTTCTAACGTTCAGATAGTTTTACTGGTTACCTACACAGAGCACCACTTGCTTTTGCTTCTGAACTGTAACACCACAGGGCCAACAGAAAAGATGCAATATTTTTAAACAGCATCTACTTTTGAGTATCAATAAAAGCATGTAACAAACTGTGAGATTTCTATCGACTGTAACTGGCCAGGTCTCAATTTCTCTCCATCTCTTGCTCATGAGACCCTTGCTACCAGAAGTTTCTTACTCAAACAGATGTCCAAGTACACGCCGTTCTCTCAGTGACAGCACGCAGCCTGCTGAAGCCTCTCCCGTAGTCTCCTTTTAAACCACTCTTACTGCCTACTTTACTGAAACCATGTGAATGCAAAACTCCTCCTCTTACCGAAGGTTTTCCTTTCTGACTAAAGTTAATTGTATCCTCTTCCTCCTTTCAATCATCACAGGTGATGAGACCCTTAGACGTTGTACTTGAACTGGTTAATAAAAAGCCACGCGCACACTTGCAGTTACCAGAACGTTCATACAGAACTGAGTAAAGCACAACTTACCTTTTGTCCCAAGACAGGCACTCTGCTCCAGTGATTCACCTGATCAGTACAGTACATGCTGAGACATTTCAGAGTAGCAGAGAGGCAGGCAGTGCCAAACGACTACGTAAGATGATTGAAAATAGAAGAGGTAACATTAAGAAGTTGAAATTCCTGATGTGTATTTGGCACTCTCTCTGCGTACACTAAACACGGTGGTTTTCCTTAGCTTGTTACCATTTTTACCAAATGGTATTTCCTACCCTGCCTCTTTCAAAATAAAAAGCAGATGGTTTGCTTTTCATATAAAGATGTTGACTTCAAAGCAACAAGCCAGTCCAATTGGATGAACCTTGTATCTACATATAAAGTTACCGATGAGGAATTAGTAAAGGGATCTTCAAGTGTTATCTTCTTTCTGGGGGACTTGTGCATTAATTACTCTTTAATGCATTCAGATATATGTAGTCATACTTAAATATTTGGAATACAAATATTAAATGTACAAGGAATACACTTAATATTTCTGTTCAGTATAACAGAACTACCCATGAAAACTGCTTTTAGGGTGAAGTATCAACCAAGAAAGCTTTACCTTCCCAAAAAGGATTGTAGCAAATCATCCATCCAAATAAGGTAACAAAACGTATATTCAATTGTGTACAGCAAACCATTTCAAAACAATATTCTCCTGCTTAAGGACAGTTATCACCCCTGACTTGGAATTACTTTTATGTCATTTATGAGTCAATTATTAAAATCCAGTTCCTAGATTGAAGCACTGCTCTAGCCAACAGGTTTTAACTGCAACAAGTATGTATCAGTTGTGATGCATGTGTGTCTCTCAAATGTTATTATATAAAAGGATCAAAGGTGGACAGTACATTACTCTGTTGATCCAAAACACAAAAGTGAAAGTGCTACTTCTAGTCCTAATTGCATTTAAAAAAAAAAAAAAATCACAAAAAAAAACCAAACCCCAAACAAAACTAATAGCAGTTCCTCAGTGCATGAATATTTGAGTATTTTTTTTCCTTGTGCAAGTACTGGTCATCTAAAAACCCAAACCTGTATTCTTCTTGGTAGGTGTAAATCAAATCTACTTTAAAAAGTTCACAATGGGCTCTTCATGAATGCAAGTTTCCCACAAAACAGCATGCTGTTCAAAGTGTGCAACATGAAGGGAATGCCATCATGCTAGTTGAATGAGATTGGCAAAATATAGTCCTCTGTAAGGTAAGGCAGGGATTTGTAATACGTAACGAAAGTCAAGCCAAGTCCTTCCGCAGCACAAATTGTTCTGCAGCTTTCTGTCCAAGCACCCTTCCATCCACGTTCTCGGCATCCTGCAGTCCTCAAATTATGCCATATATATGAAGGTGTTGATATCCGACTCATCTCTTCTGATATATTTGTGCTCTATAAGCCATTCAATTTGCTCTTTTATCATTTTCTTTTGTGGCAAGAACATGTTTTTCAATATTTCTACCAGTTCAGTCTGAAGTTGGGCATTAGTAATTTTCTTCCGCATTTTCATTATTTGGATGATAGCCTCCTGGTGGGGGACAAGAGAAAAAAAAATTTTTTTCTTTTTAGAATCATCAGCTGGAAAGATCTGACAAGAGTACCTGACTGACTGAAGGATAGCCAACCACAAAGCTCGGAAGCTGCAGTTTGGAGATCTAACATGTACTTATCCACTTGCCCTCTAATGAGAAGGGCCCTCAGGAAGTCCTGTTGCTATTACAAAACCATGATCCCATCTCTGAGATTGCTCTGCTCTCTTCATACAGAGAAGCCAAAGAGATCTCAAGATCAACAGTGCTGTTTGGTTCATGTTGGTGGTTCAAGTCAGTCAGCTTCGCCACCTGCTGCTGCCACCCACCACAACACAGTTACGCTTCCACCGGCTGCTCAGTGCCTGCTCTGTCCCTGTTAAACAACGACCTGGCACATCAGAACAGGAGGCTGAGAATTAGAAGTGCAAAAACACCCACAAAACCCCCCAGTATTCACAAAGGATCTAAGCCAAAGCGCAAAAGTAAGTTCCAATGGGATTCAAAAGCATCTGCTTCTGACATCAACACCCAGGTGTGGACTGTGAGCAGCAGCGATAACAGGACAGCAGAAACAGGAACATCTTATCTGTCTCTGACAGTTTACTTGCCTGGGTTCGTAATATTCTTAGCTGAACAATTCCTTCATTTTCCTCTTCCCGCATTCTTTCTGTAGTAAGTTGCAACCGACCAATCAAATTTATCTTGCCCCTTTTCTGAACCTTAGCGTTTTTTCTGAAAAAGTTGTATTGCGTGAAAGTAAGCTAAAAAATACATTTTCAGTTAAGGAATTCCTGTTAAATTACAGCAGCAAGGAGTACCACCACATATTGGGTAGTTAAAGGCTATCAGCAGTGCAGCAGTGAGACAGTTGCCTTCAAAGTCAGACCCCAGTCCCAAAGTCTCCACATAGCAACACCCCAACACACCAGTGCTACGAAAAACCCATCAGCTGAAAGACAGTGTCCAAGTTGAAAAGTTACTGGTACTATTTTAACAAATAGAATTTCTGGGAAATATATTTCAGCTTAATGATATAAAACTAGGGTTCTTTGGGGGATGTTTTTATAATAAAGTTCAGGAAACTGGACTAGTTAGTATTCCATTATAAGTACTGTCTGTCTAGCAGGAAAAAAAAGGACAATTGTAACAAAGCAAGCTGATGGCACTTGTCAGCAGTCACCCACAAACTTTCTGTACAGCCCGTCTCTTCTGTCATACCCTTTCATCACTTCCCAAAGCCTGCGATCCTGACGACAGGAACAAACACCATGGCCCTGGGCAAGAAACTAAGCCCCAAGAAAGCAGGTTTGTCATCTCTCTCTTCCCCCCCTCCAGATCCAGATGTCCAGTTGCTACTGAGAATGAGGCCCAGAATCCAAGGTTGCTAGCAAAGAACCAGTTCTAATCATAGTAACTGATAACACAGAGAGGCAAAACCCAAAGTAAACCATTGCTGAATATAGTATATACCGTTCACAGATACTCTCTTTTATACTATCTTACGCTCTGAAGGATTTCAGAACACCAATAAAAGAGCACTGCAGTTCTCACTGAAACAAAGACACTCCTTGCCAGTGAAAGCCACACATACCATGGTATGCTGTCTAAAGCTGGGCTTTATTAAGCAGTTTCACTTCCTTTTTTAACTTATCACTCTGCTTTTGAAACTGTGAAACAAGCAACACGGCACTAGTGCTTTCCTTATGTACCCTTCTTCCTATATGAAATTTCATGGGCTCATTAGTAACAGAAAGACAGCAAAGCCTCCAGTTTTGCACTTCATCCCCAAGCAGTTAAAAAATTTTATTTCACAGACATCAGAATCACAGAAAAATTTTTCTGAAGGGGCTGCTGGAGGCCATCTAGTTCGATTGCCTACTTGAAGCATGACTACTGCGAAAACCAAATGAGGACATGGCAGCAAAGCATGTGTCTAGCTGAATCTTGAGAACTTTCAAAAACAAAGGTTAACTTAAAGTGAATCCCTTTAGTTATAAGATAGCACATTGTTAGTTTACTTTTCAAATGTCATCTTACATTAAACTGAACTCCTGGTTCACCGAGAAGAGGGTTCCTTCTGTAAAGTCTTTGGGTGAATTGACTTGAGGTTCATACAATAAAACCTGACGTTTCAGCTTTGGAAATGCTACAAGAGACTACAGAGAAAAGGGGGGGAGAAAGAATGAAAACAAAACACGAGATTTTCTAATCAGAAACAATTACTTTTTAAGAACATAGATCACTGCTGTGCAGACTGTAGTGAGGGAACCACGTAGCCTTGTTTGGAGCTGCTATAGGGCAACACAAAGATAATAGTAAAACCAAAGAGGGGTGCATGGTTTACCAAATCTTCTGAAATGGGTTAGCAGAAGTAAAATCATAAAAAAAAAGAAAAATGTATGAACTCACGGCTACAGAAGTGGTGTTAAGTCTGATTTACATGACTTCTCCCTTTGTTCTTCAGCTAAATAGTTAAAAGCCCGATAGAGCAAACACTGAAGTTATTTTTAAGCAACATGTATCCATCAGGTGCCACTGATGTCCTAGAGTTAGACTGGTCCCACTCCACAAAATACAATCAAAACCGTGTGCTTTAGGCAGCACACGGTCAAAAAGATCTTGCCGTTTCCAAAAGCTTAAGTTAGACAATACTGGGTAGAGAGAACGTGTTAATGTAAAGGTTGTGTGTGCTCAGGAGTAGTGCAAGGAACCAGCATTAAAACTGATTAATGAGCAAGAAAGGCGTTCACATTTCCAAGCGTTATCTGAAAGCTCTTTAAAAACACTAATCCAGTATTTCAGAGCACAAAAATTAAGAAGAAATCTGTTTCAAGAGAAAGGGAAATACCCATAAAGTCCTCCTAAGTTCTGCATCAGGGAGTTCTGTTGCCAGTTTAAGATTTTCAAAGCTGATCTTCTCTCTGGGTCTTTGGTTCCATGCAAACAGGACAGCTAGCTGAAATGTTGTTACCTCCAAGTCATACTGGCCAACCTCGTTCTTAAATGTTATCTGTGAATAGAATGACAATTTTACCTACAAGCCTTTCTAGACCACGAGCTTTCTTAATATTATAAATACACAGAAAGTACAGTCATTGAGACTAAGACACTGAAAACTACACACTCACAATTCCATTGGACATGAGATGGTGCCAGTGAAGTTTTCTACCACTGTGATTTTTTTTATAAAATTCTTCAACTTCTGGGATGAGATCTTCTAATTCCGTGGGCAGCGAGACAAACACCTTTTCAGAGCTTCGGGACCAGGCACCAGCATTCAAAATTTTAATATTCACAGAATCAGCTGTAAGACAATATTGGATTACATAAATCTCCAGGTGTAACAGATAGACAAACAAAATGCCCTTTTTTTCCCTGCTTGAAATACAATTATGGAAGACTGAGTTCTCGAAATAGCAGGGTGTCTATCTACTTAAACATTAAGGTACTCTATTTCTGTACCACTGGCTTTCTGCCAGCAACACTGATTGAAATCTCTGCTTTTCCTGCTTGCCTCTGCAGAGCTCCTTAAGCCCTGATGCAGCTTTACAGCTGATGGTTGTAAGCACTACGAGGGTTTTCAGCAGTAGCAGGTCCCACACTGGATGTTCCTTAGCCTCTCTCATCAGTGAAATTTAACCTCAGAAATCTGATTTAAGCTCTTCACAGCACACATCCAGCTCTCCTGCTGGTAGATCAAGGAGGAGCACAGCATGAAGCACTCATGAAGAATAATGAGGGTGAAAGAGAAGGGAGCAGTTCAAGCATTCACCTGGTTGTTACCAATTCAAGCCCCTGCTTGGAATTTACCTACAAGAATCAGGAGTCTGTATCTACAAGACTATTCATAATGACAACCCACAATAACTTACAGAATGATGGAGCTCCAGTGTCAAGTGTAAGAGAAAGTAGAGTCTACAGACACTCCCAGTCTAAGGGTAACAATGCCCTGAAGACTATGTTCAGCCTGCATTTGATAAAATTTTTAACTCAGGATTCAACAGAATTATGCTTCACTAAGAGAAATGAAAAATAGCAAATCATTTGAAAACTGTACCTGGTAAAGCAAGTTTATTATTTTTGTGCATTTCTTTGAAGGCCTGGTTCAAGTCTTCAGACACTTTGATATCCTGGAACATTCTAGCCAGCTTGTTTACATAGTCTGCTGGCATTCCTACTTCCTGCATAAACAAACAGAACACTAAACTATGACATAGACAACTATGATCAAAAACTTTATTTTAAAAACAATAAACCCCAAAAAATGAAGAGCATTAAAAAGATATATGAGATCTGAAGCAATATTTAAAGCATGCAATTAATATTCTAATATATGCAAAATTTCACAGTTAGAACACTACTCAAACAAGTAGACTGCATGTCTCTCATTTGCATATGGAATATACAAAGGCTTCGGATAATTATGTGTGAAATATTTTTATATATCACTACCACTACTAGGATAAACATTTATCTTAGAAAAGAGCAGAAAAGAGGTAGAAGTGTTTTACTTTATGAAAGTACTAGGTTAAAAAAGAAGCTTAGGATGCCCTGAGTGGCCTGCAGTTTAAGACAGAACTCACTTAGGCAAAAAGGATATCTAAGTTCAGAGGTGGGAATCAATAACACAAGAGGCACAAGCAAAGACAGAGTTCAAGCTACTTACTCTGAGCCATTCCACCATGTTCTCCTCAATTTCACTATCAGCCGATATATCTAATATCAGGCGTCTTGTTAAGTGAGCTTTGTGATATCGCATGAAAACATCTTTATTCTGTACATATTTAAGTACCAAAAGCTGTCAAAAGAAGATTATAATATATTTATTTGCATCACCAATCAGACAAGTCTGCTGATCTAATGCCACTGTAGATTACAAAGTAGAAAAAGGCTACTTGACATTGCCTTAACAGCAACCACGTCAGAACTATCACAGGCATCAGCTACAAATCTTTCAGAATATCACAGCTCCAGTTTCTTTACTGGCCAACCATCAAGCGCCTTCTCCTAAATCAGAAAAGACATTGACACCTGTATGTAGAAGTCTCCTCTATTTCTCTTGTCAGACTGGCATTAGTTTTGGTAACATGTGACAGAGGCATTAATTTAGCATATTGATTTTGTGAACTGACAGAGACATGAAACACTGCAAGAGTTACAAAATTTAAACATGCACATGCCTGATGACATAATAAACTCTTTTCCCCACTATTAACACCTTATTAACATAACTGTTTTTCAAGATCAAGGCCTGAACCCACAGAGGGAAATAAACTCACTCATTCTTCAGAACAGTTGAGAAGTAGAAAGCAAAAACATACCACTTCTTTCAGCTTTGCTTCAATTTCTTCAGAGGTTAGTTTTTTGCTTAGTGGTGTTTTTCTTAGCAACATGTCACAGTAATTAGCAAGAAGCTCAGGGCATTTGGATTCAGGCTGGGTTTTCAATCCAACACTAAATAAAAGAACAACAACATATCTTCAAACAGTACAGAACCCTGCTATCCTGCAGTGGTCATGCTGGCAGCAAGATAGAGCACTCCTTTTTGACTCCAAGGATCCTGGCACTGAATTCATATCCTTGTTATACGAATGAGAAAATAGGGGTAACTCCCTTTTCTTCTTGAAAGAATAAATACCACCCAACATTTTCACACAGCTTCTACCACTTGATCTTCTAAACCGCTTCTAATTTTAGAACTCATAACAATGAAGGATTATGTTAAAACTACAGTTTGAGACAAGTAAATATTGCATGGCAACAAGTATTCCAGTAAAGAATTAACCAATGCTGCAGTGGAACGTTTCACTCAGCTTCTCACTGGGCTCTAATGGAAGGCTCAAGAACAGCCTCCTGCACCACATTTCACAGACTGCAAAACCCAACACAAATTATCTCATAGGAACAGGATAAAATTGCTCTGTAAGAGGTTTAAATAGCAGAATAACAGCTTGGAAATCAAAAGCAGATTACAGTTGAATGAGAAGATGCTACAGTAGACAGACTGTGGTTCTTCAAAATGCATGGAAGCACAAGGTCACGTTCTGAGCCTGTGTCTGGACTGGTGAATAAATGGTCAAGGGCCAATCTCTACTTCTAGAGTCAGATGACACCAACTCGATTGCTAGTCTCCAGGGCCCAAAATAAAGGTGATGAATAAGACAGCAGGGAAGAAGCTGTGAAGAATGTTCAGTGTTCTTTCTCGTTCCCTCATCCTCTCATCAACTAGTGCAGACAGTGCTAAAACTCTTTAGACAACTTGTCCTTCTGAATTCATGAAGCAGCCTGCAGGCTACTATCTTCTGCCCTCTTGAAGACCATATGGAGTAAAAGCAGATCACTAATCTTTTGGTTATTACATGACAGAACTCTTATTTAATCCGTGCGTTCCCACGTATTTCTGGACAGGAGACTTCAAGATCCTGACAACAATGAGAAATTACCAAATTCCATTTTCTTAGGCTGAACCTAACGGCACAAGTTAAGTAGGATAAAGTTTCATCTTACTTAAAACCAGGCTGCATATGTAGGTAACATGAAAAATCCTGGGAAGAAGAACACTGAGCAGAAAACCACTGCCACTGTGACGGTTTCTAAGAAATCACTAGGCAGGTTTCAGCTTTAGGAGTGAAACACATTTTGAATTAGGTATTGATCTGGATGCTCCCAGGGGAAATGAAAATATTAGCAGAGACCTAAAAATCTCCTCCACCCTGGTTGCATCTACAGGAAGCGCACAAAACAGGGATCCAGTCTTTTGTGAAGGAGCTCCTCCAGTAATACAGAAACAGCAAGGCTAATAATAAGCCTACCCAGGCTTACCATTAGTCCAAAACCAAACACAGGATAAGAACCAGCATGCTAACAGATATTTATATTCATCCACTCCTAACTAGAAGGATTTGGAAAGGGAAGCTGGCAGCCCAGCTACGTATGGTTTGTTTCCACAGTAAATCAGACTACAAGCTATATATTTAGGCAATCCTCATCCACCTAAACAGATTCTTACTCAAGTGGCACCTGAGGTGAAGCATTAACAAAGAGTTAACTGACTGCCACCTTCCCGCTGAGTTAGCAGGGTGGCCACGGTGAGTGTTGGTTTTCTTCCTGAGTCACGCAGGTTTGCCCCATCTACTGGAGTTGTTTAAACTAACCTTAACCTGCAGGGTTAACCCTGCACCGAAGCAAGAATGTGACACCCAGACAGGTCATGCTCACAGCTGGCACACGAGGAGGTGGCAAACAGCTTGTGGATGGTCACACCTTAATCAGTCACCATTATTCCCATAAAGATTACTGACTCAGTTTTCCCACGGACTTTCACTGAAGTTGTGGCAAAGTTACAGAGTTCAGGGTTTTGGAATTAATAACCCCAGAAGGTATTATTAAATTCAGCTAACAAATTGACTTATTACTCTGCTATAAAATAACAGATCTTCCAATAACAACAAACAGGTGGCTACTCACTGATCCACTGCCACGTGAAGAGTCTCTCACCAGAGACTGAAATTCCAGAATGCAAGAACCACAAAGCACTTGTAAACAGTAAATATTTTGAAGAGATATTTTAAAACAGAAGCTTGGTCTTTAACAATTTTAAAAAGCTGATTCACATAAAGTTTGTGGCTTACCCCTTTTGCTTCAATGGCAATTCAAGTTTAAATATTGTAGCATCATTCACAACTGCTTTGTATGCCTGAAAAATAATGGCATATTATAAGTGCTTCACTCAATTTCTGTCTTTGATGTATGAATCACAAAAGTTTTATCTATTTATATTACTGTAACATGAAATTAATCCAACTATTTTTATTAGCCCAAAGTTTTCAATATTAGAGTTCAAATCCTATGATTCAATTTCCCATTAACTGATGCTTTGCATTTTACCCTTTTCCAATAACATACTACTTTCCTCTAAGCAAAAACTTAGGAAGGGATTGCATGGAGCAGGTCCCATATCTGAAGTCATGAGACTTCATAGGCAATAAGTTCTAAAGACATTGCTAAATCAGACATTAAGGTGCTCAACAAAAAGATCATCTTCTGATATGCTCTACAACATTACAAAGCTGAACACAAAACTTTAAGGATGACTAAAATACAAGTTAAAAGCTAATCAGGTGGCAGTAAGGTTCATCAATATTTTAGTCTGCATATTTACTAGAGTAAGAGCAGCTTCTAGATTTAACAGTGAATAGGCACAAAGATTTCAGAGACATAAGATGAATTACAACAATTCTTAAACTGGAAACAAGTTATCTGCAGAAACACCTACCTTATCTCTTGCAGTAAGAAATCTTGGATCATCTTGGAAAGCTTCTTTAACCAACTTACTAAATCGATTAAATAGTGTGAGCAATTGCTCTACATATTTCTCAGAATCCTAAATTTAAAGAGGCAAAAATAAAATAAAAACCCAAGGCTCCATACAATTCAGTGTGAGCTTGCTTACATTTAATTCCTTTATCTGTAATAATGTAGTATCCTCAAGCCTGCATACTACAAATGAGCATTTTAACTTTATTCTCTGTACTGAAGAGCTCTACAGCATGTAAACCTGAAAACAGACTTCTAGGATAGTTGTTTCTGATATACAAATTTATATATATACATACACACAAAAAACCCCTTTCAAATATTGTATAATAACTTCTAAAAATAAAGAAAAAAGTTTTCAAGATTCAATAAAAGGCACACCCTAATTGCTGCAGTTCCTCAGTCCTCCTAAGCCCGGAAAAGATGATAAAAAGCAGGACAAGAACAGTACGGAAAAATCCTTTTAATTTCCACACTGAACAACCCCTCCCAGATTGAAAGTAATTTTCAAATTTCATCAGAAATTTAGAACTCTGAAAAAACTGATTCTGCCTTTTTACTTCAGATACCAACACAATGTTACTGTACAAGTATCACAAGCCCTTAATTTATAACCTTTTCTTTACTGCAGATTGGATTTGTGTTTTAAAGCTACAACCAAAAACAGAAGGGAAAAAAAATTCTAAAGACACTTAAAATTTCAGTGGATCAAAATCTGATGTTTAAACAAAATCTCCAGAATGTATTCCATTGTCACAAACGTCCCTCAAATAATAAGTACTTAACTTCTGCAAAGTTGTTTTTTCATTATTATTTTATTAAAACCCAATACTTACAGTAGTAATAGTTTCAGCAGCTGCTACCATATCTGCAAGTCCAGCACTAACAATATGTTCTTCCAAGTCTTTTAGCATAGGCTCTATGCCATTCGGAACTTTATCCATCAGTGAGAACATTAAATGCAACTCTGAAAGATACAAATACTGATAAAGCCAGCAGTCAAAGACCTGTATAAAACCCAAGTACACTGCATTTCTGCTAGAGATATCTCAAGAGGAATACTGAATGTGTCAAGAGCAGATAACTCAATTCATCCCTTTAAAAGGAAAGATGTTTTGAATACTGTTCTAATTCTGGTCCCAGAAGGAGATTCTTCTGCAGGTAAAAGGAAATATTTATTGCAATGTAATACTTGCTTATGCATAAACTATCACAAGCTTGAATAAAACCCCCCAAAGTCAATGGCAATTTGGATTAAGTCCAGGTTCTCAGTACTGCTGCCTTAAAATCCCTCAGTTGGAAACCTACAGTAGTTTATGCAAGAAATTGTAAAGATTCAAGCTTTTTATTTTCTTTTAATTAAAGCCAAACAGAGCTGTCTTTGTGTATCTTCCAATACCATGTACAACGTTTTGTTTTAATTAAAACCATGCCAAAGTCTAAAGTAAACCAAACTGACTAAGGTAAACAGCATTTTTTTTCCTTTCTGTTTTCCCAAGGAGCTTATTTAGTTTTTTTTGAAAGTTAACAATTCAAAAACTTTAGAAACTGAAATGGTTTGTCTACTTTTAGTGAAGTTATTTCAGCACTGCTTAAAAAAAATATATTTAAAAAGTTACTGAAATGTCAATAATCATCTTGACAAACTTGTCCACAAAGGAACACCTGGATGAAAGTCACCAGATTGTTGTGGAGTGACCAGAGATCTGAACTTAACACAGCAAAGGACTCTGCTTATGAAGTTGAACAAACTGATCACAAACTCAATTCTTTTTTTGATAAAAGAAAACCTGATAGATTCACTTAGTTCCTCCTGCTATTTCTACTGGGGACAAAAGGCCCTGTCTTTGTTTTCTCCTCTGCGATACTTGCCAGAAATACCAAGATTTTGTCACTCACGTGGATGAAATACATGCTACCAACTTCTGTATCCCAACAACTGTTGCAAAAACAAACAGAAAAGCAATGCACAGAGAAGAAAAAAAGTCCTTTTAGAACATAACAATGCAAATTAAAGAATGGAAGCTACAAGCAACCATCAAGGAAAAACTTGCAATGTTACTGGACACAACTCACAGTAGTTTAAATGACTGCATTTGATGAAGCAGAAGAAAAAATAATAAGTCAGAGGTATTCTCAGTGCAGTTTAGGTGTACTGTAAGTGATGGTAGCACTGCTCTACATAAGCTCAGGCCAAAAAGCTCAGTCAACTTCTACTGGTTCTTTTAATCTGTATTTTTAAAAAACAAAAGTGAGAGGGGAAAGAGATGGTAGAAAAAAGGAAACAAAAAGATTAAAGGGTTCTACATCTGTTTCTGTAAAGTAGTGATGGCATAAATAATTCAAGAAAAAAAAGCTTGTAGTGTCTTCTAATAAACAGTGGCAAAGGAAGACTTCGGGTGCTCCCTAAAAACATAGGAACTCAAAAAACCAGATTCTTCAAAGGCAGATTTCAAACTAACAAAACAAAAAGGAGCATTTAATTGGAATTTCTCTCAGAATACATTATGCGACTGAAAGGTAAGGAAACCCATATTGCAGCTGTTGGGGCACTTAAGTTCCATTTTCATAAAAGCCAAGTGTACTTATTTCTGTTATGAAGTACTTCAAGAATAAAATTTAGGCCTCCCATCCCTAATACTATAAGCAAACAAAAACAAAGCAAATGCTGAAAAGCATTTGCAAGTTCCAAAATTCCTGAGAGTTCTCAGTTGGAAAATATGACACTTTCCTTCCTTTGCACGGCATGTAAAAATTAACTAATGTAACAAAGTATTTTCCAGTAGTGCTCAGCTCACAGCCCAAACGCCCTTTTTTGTTAGATGCTCTTTAATAAAGAAAACATCATTAAATTCTTTGAGATGAATAATATCAGAAAGACATATGCAGAAGTCAAGTACAGCAGAGGATACTATAACAGAGTACATATTACTATGTATAGCTCCAGTCTTTAAACAAATGGACTGCACCTGCATCCTTCATTAAAAACATTCAAATATTTTTAAAATAATAGGTAGGTCTAGGGGAAAAAAAAGATTTGAGAGAAACACTTGAGTTCTTATATACTGAACAGAATTATTCTGCAAACAAGCAGTATCAAGGGGCAGACACACATCAAGGAAATGGAAGACTGTGTGAATACTTCCACAACTTTCTACAGAAAGATGCTTTGGATGCTACAGATGAACCCTTCTGAAGCTCTGCATTTAAATAAGCCTCCTGTATTCTCCCAAAAACTGTAACATACACTCATAAGAAGTTTGGTGGCTGTCTAGATTTAGCTCTGGACTACTGCCAGGAATCATGCTGCTAGATGAACAGATCAGCATGACATAGTTTTGAGGTCAAATATTTTCTGAAATGCTAGCTTTAGAGGTGAGTAATTATTACACTGTTCTAAGTCCTGAAAGAGTTCTCACATTTGCACAGAAATGAAAACTTTGTGTAAACATTCGTAAATATTCCTTGGCTGCAGGATACAAAGTCTTAAAAAAAACATACAAGAAAGAACCTGTGATTTCAACTTTTTTTTTTAATTTTTATTTTATTATTTCCCTACTTGATTATGACGTTTTCATGACTTACCTAGTTTGGTTTATTTCACAGGACCAACACTAGACTTCCAAGTCACACTAACCTCTCAATTTATGGTATCTGTCATTTGCCTAGAGGCTGCCCCAGCCCTAACCCTTGATACAGTTAACAAAAAAAAAATTCTGAAAACTTTCAAAAGGCATGCAGAGCTAACTTTCAGTACTCAACAGTTACATAATGACTGTAAGACCAAAACAAAAAACTTGCAGAGATTTTGTTCACTGGCCTATTGGTCCTCCAGAAAAACACAGCTCTGTAAAGAGATGCTTCACTTTTTTCCCAGGGGGAAGGTGAAAGCGGAACGAAGGGGGAGTGTTAACATTTACCAGAGCTGGACAACACGAGGAAAAAAAGTAAGGGGAAAAATAAAACAGAACACACAATGTTCTCGTTTTTCAAGTAAGATGAGAGCTATCCAGTCATTCAAATTAAGATATTGCACATACAGATTTTGTAAGTGATATATAAAAAATAACCCTAACCAATGATGGTCATTTTTTGTGGGATAAAATTGCCCACGTGCAGTAGCATCTAATCTTTGAAACACTGCCACCACCTATTAAGAACAGTAATCTGATACATCTACAAACAAATCTATTTTTATACAGTTGATGCTGAGATCATCCTGCACTGTTCTTGAAGCTTCACTTACTTTCTGTTTCATTTCGTTTGATCATGCCTTGGCATTCAGCTAAAATAGTCTCTTTAAAAGATGTCACGAGAGCATTGACGCAGCACTCCATTAGCTGAAACACACGAAACACAGAATTAGCTCCTCTAGCCCCATCTCAACACCCAAGTCTGATCTGTCTCCACTCTGCTGTGACACAAAATCTAGCTTGTTCTCAACAACCATGCTCTATAAAATAATTAATTCACTCACTGATTCATAAAAGTATGTATAGAATAAAATCTATACAGGAAACCATATTTCTTCAAAATATGTAGGTTTGTAAATGTGGTAAACATTTACATCTCTTCCAAAGCAGTCATGAGCTCAG